GATAGTGGCTTTTTAGAAGAGTGTGACTTGATTTTCGTCTCTAAGAAAGGAGGTGATTACCATGACGAAATGAATGCCAGCTGCTTCGAGAGCTGGTTTCAAGGGGTGCTTCAGCGAGTTGAGCCCAACTCTGTGATCGTCATGGATAATGCTTCCTACCATAGTCGTCGAGCCGAACGTGTACCGACTATGGGATCTCGAAAAAGTGACATGCAGCAATGGTTGCGCGAAAAAGGAATCCCGTTTGACGATTCATGTGTGAAAGCGGAATTGTATGAAAAAATTAAACAGCACAAACCTGCGAACATTAGTTACGTGACTGATGAGATGGCCCGTCAATGTGGTGTCACTGTGCTGCGGTTACCGCCCTACCACTGTGAACTGAACCCAATAGAGCTCATCTGGGCTCAAGTGAAGGGTTATATTGCGCGCCATAACGCAACCTTCAAATTACCAGACGTTAAGGTTTTACTTGAGACTTCCATACAGCTAGTAACGCGCGAAGCTTGGCAGAATGCTGTCCGTCATGTTGTGAAGGAAGAAACAAAAATGTGGCAGCTTGACCACCACATCGACACCATCATAGAGCCAGTTATAGTCAATTTCAACGAAGAAAGCGATAGCGACAGTTTATTACTGTCAGATGTAAGTGGAAGCGACGGTGAATAAAGGTAATTCCCAAATTTTTTACTTACAATATGTTTCAAACCACTCTTTATTAAGCATGTGACAAATCTAGTTCACCCATGTTAAACATTCATACCCCGCCTATGAACAGCCGACTACTGGTAGTTAAGTGATGTTCACGTGAACATCGATGAGTCATTACAGTTTTAGATAGTTATAGTATACCTGACAATAAAATTAATAGACTGTAATAACTAACCCTGCAAAACGTTTACCATGGTACACGTACGAAGGCTTTACAAATATAGGTCTTACAAATATTTCAACGCCTAAACCTAAACTTATCTGTATCTTCCAGTTACAGCTCTAGGCGTAGCTGTGATGTTCTCAGCTCTCAAAAAGTCAGGTCAAATCAGTGGCCAGTAGTGAGCAGTGACGTAATGAACGTCACAAGGTAGGGGCTGCTTGCCTCGTTCTCAAGATTTATGGTATAAAAAAAATCCTAGAGAGAGCAAAAGACTGTTTAAAAATCTACTCTCTACTCTATGTCTGAGACAGAACTACACATTTAAAAGACTCAAACTTGAAGAATAATCCATGAACATTCTTTATTACTAGAAATTTACTTTTCTTTCTGCAAGTGCAAGAAAAGATAATATATACCAAAGTGATATACCTCAGAAATGTATCCCTTGTTCTAAAATAAGTTATGGCAGCTCAAAATTCCAAATTATGATTAATGTAATGTAATAAGGCCAAAAGACAGTGAAATGTAGGAACTACCCTATATTTGCATTAGTAAAATGCCAAACAAAATCATGAACACTCTAAGATTTTCAGTCAGCAACAATCAATATATCAATATCTATAAAATACCCAATTAAAATTATATGTTACCTGTTCATAGGGTTTTTATAAAAGGGAAGAGATGGCTTCCAACAAAATCGGCTGAGAAACAGCTACAAGGCAGCTACAAAACAAAGCTGGAGTAGTGTGAATGGTGGTTGTCCGCAATGGCTTTCCACGGTGGTGGTTAAAATCTCATTACAAAATGGACAGGTAGTACCCTAACCAACACAACTAAACGTAACGTACACAATAAAAGGGTACTACTCCATAAACTGGTGCTTGGGGCGTTAGTATAAAAAAACCTGGAAGTTAACGAAAAATAACGCCCGCACACAACTAAAACTACAGCAGAAAGTGAAATGGCGCACGCAACCCCCTCCAAGAAGGTTGAATAAGTTGCCCCGAAGAAAACACGTTTGACAGAACATCAAAAGGAACAGATAAAAGCCGGTAAAGAAGGTATCTTGATAGGAAGGTAAACATTCATATATGGCTAGTACGTATAAACATCATAATATGGCACGCTGGTTGCCGATGGGCAGATTGTAGACAGAAACAAATCTGTCTACGAGGGACCAACAATATTTTATGAGAAAATTTCTCAGATAGAAGAAAGATTTCAATACAATACTGAGTCGCTGAGAATCACAGATGTAATACGTGAGAAATTCTACAATCAATAAACTATGAAATTTGCCAAAAGAAAATCATTAACAAGAGCTTGGTCTAGGAATCGGTATTCTACTATTAATAAAGAGAAATTCAAATTACTCATAAGTGATCAAAATAGCAAAAAGAAAGGTTACGTGATTTTGGCACGGGACAACATGAAGTGCAACTATGCAGGATAGGTATTAGTTCTAAGTCACATATGTGTCAGCCAGAACAGTTCACACAGCCAATGGCCAAATCCAAGATCGAAAAACGATTAGAGAGTTGGAGTGTCGTGGCGGATTTTCACACTATCGCGATAATGGACAGTTTTTCCCACTTGAAACGTATAGGGTTACCTTTCAGAATGCCTTTTTGGTGAATAGTGAATCGTTGCTCCGCGGTTCATCCTTTGAAGAAAAGGGGTACAGCGGGAAATATACACAATGTATCACAATAGTATACTTTATCTGAAGTCACTTGAAACACTGTGAAATTCCGGGTGCGTTTTATATATCTATATTTAACACGCTCTGTTGCTGCAAAAATCGCCAAATTTCGCAGCAAATATCCCCCGTATAAGATCAAAGGCAGTTTCACCGGTCCACGTGGAGTAAAGCACGCCTATGCGTGGACATAGCCAATGAGAAAGCGTGTATTTCAGAGCTCGGAACAAGTGCAGGTGGCTACTGAAAATTGAAACAGTTTAGCCAGTGCCGTGTAGCGGTGAATAAACGTGTTTTCTTTAGTCTGTCCGTGTTTTTTCATAGATTTTATTAGTTTGTGTGTTTTTGACTTTTGAATACTCAGTTTACTTGTTGATTTAATTGTTGTGTTGATTGTTCTTGTGTGTCCTAAATATGGCTCTTTGGAGACCTTGGGAAAATGCTCCAAGCCACGAGGAGATGATTGATGAACCTGTGCAGGCAGAATTCTTTCATAAAGATTTAGAGGAACAGACCCAAAGAGTAATCCTAAATATGTATGATTGTCTGAAAAACGAAAATCCAGATTCCTCGCAAAATCAAATTTTAAACAGAATTTGTATCCTGACAAAAATCAGTCGGTCTACCATTTATCGGGTTATAAAAAGGGGAGATGTAGTCAACCATTCCTTCCACAGAAAGCGCATAGGGCAAAAATTAAAAAGAATAGACGTGGGTTTTCAGGAAGATATTCGTCGTATAATATACGGATTTTATAAAGAAAATTTGGTGCCCACGTTGGAAATGATACGGGATAAATTAAAAGATTATCCTGAAGATTTTTATAATTACAAATGCTTAGACTCACTGCACTGTATTGTAAAACTGTGTGGTTTTCAATACAAAAAATTAGATAAAAGAATGGTGATTATGGAGTCGTCTCGAATCGTTGAATTGCGCCAAGAATTTTTGCAGAAAGTTAAAATCTATAGAGAGCAGAAAAGAAATCTGATTTACCTGGATGAAACGTGGTATGATACCCATGATGTTGTGCAGTACGGCTGGGTTGACGACAGCAACAAGTGCATTTTAAATGCACCATGCAACCGTGGAAAACGAATCATTATTCTCCATGCTGGCAGTGAAAATGGATTTATACCTAATGCCTTGCTATTATCTGCCAAAAATATCAAAGAATCATGTGCCGACTATCATGAGGACGTGACCTCCGACTTATTTGAAAAGTGGATAGAGCAGCAGTTAATACCAAACATTTCCCCAAATTCAGTGATTATTATGGACAATGCGCCATACCATTCCCGACAGAAAAACAAAATTCCGAATACAGGCACAAAAAACAAGACATTATTGATTTTATGAAGGATAAGGGAATGGAAATACCACAAAAATCAACCAAAGCCATATTATTGGATCTTATTAAAAGACAAAAATTTGAAAAAGAGTATGTTGTTGACAATCTGCTTCAGCAAAATGGCCATGAAGTATTACGTCTACCTCCCTATTACTGCATTTTTAACCCGATTGAGTTGGTCTGGGCTGCTTTAAAAAAAAAGTAAGAAAACATAATCAGACCCCTCAATTAAGTGAATCCCTATTGGCCACAATAAGAGATGCAGTATCTCATATTGCTGCCACAGACCTATGGAAGCAGTGTTCTAGGCATATTATTGAAAAAGAAAATGAATATTGTGTTTTGCCTCCTGTAAATCCCGTTGTAATTCCTCTACAAGATGACTCTAGCGACAGCTCCGAAGGCCAGGATGATATATAAATACCTATAATGTAAGTCTTTATATACCTTTTTATATACCTACCTGCTATGTAAATATTTGCCTATGTCAAACGTTGGAATTCTGTAATTTTTCCATTTCTTAACTTTCAGTCAACATAAATTAAACTCCCAATATAAGTATTTTTTATCCCAAATCAAAAAAATAAGAAGATAGTAAAATCCATTTATTGTGATATAAAAACATTATTATTATCGTTCTAAATAAATGACCGCACGCCTATGATACGTCATGAAATTACAAAGGACGCGCCGACCAAAGGTTTTTATGCTATTTCAAGTGACTTCAGATAAAGGATACGTTGAATTATAGCGACAAAATCACCTGAAGTTCTAAGTATCCTAGCACAGGTATTGTTTACTCGATCGCTATGCGCTTTAAAGCATTGGATAGAGAAAGGTTGAGGCTAACGTATGTCCTAAAAGTTTTGGCACAAAATATTTATCTGATTTTTTATATTCGATTGAACACTAACTAGTTATCATAAATTACAACTCAATACTTAACTAAACTGTAATATCGAATTATGTGGAGTGGCTCATTCTGCTTTACCAGACGCAACTCTCTTCGAATGTCACTCATGAGGTGCTGGACAAAATTCAGATCAATTTCCTAAGTTTTTGGTAAATTCGCCGTCTTAGTTGTTCTTCATCTTGAGCTTCCCAACCTCCATGATGAACCTTTCATTGGTCAAATGAACACCATTAAAACGAGGGTCTAATATATTAGCTGCCAAATGTACTGGGTTTATGACAATACGCTTTCTTTTTACTAAAAATTCCTGTAAATTTTGCTCTTCTTGCTTTGTAAGGGGACTTGAAGGTAACACTGTTTGAAAATGTTTTTCCAAACTATAGAAACATTCTACTACTTGACTCAGTTTTGGCTTGTCTGACTCTAGTTTGGTTATGTATTCAACAATGGGGTTAATTAAATTGAACAGTTTTAACACTCTTACCCAAAATACAGCTTCATCTAAAACTAATCTTTCTACTTGCTTACTCAATATAGTATCCACAGTTTCACAAACTGCTAAAGCTTTAAGGGCATATTTGGTATCAAGCAGACTTTTCAAGCTGTGGGTAATTGATCCCCATCGAGTTTTGACGGATAACTTTAGCGATATTGGTACAGATGTCCCCTTTTTTTCAGTCTGGATCTTTTTGAAAGTGGCTAGTAAAAGATGAGAATTATTAATTTCCTTAACGATACTTTTAACATCGTCCTCTATCGAAGCCATAGTTCTCATTTTTGAGATGTCTCCTATTAATAAGTTAAGTGTGTGGGCGACGCAACCGTAAACAGATATATGTTTATATTTTTCGTGAATATTGTTCCTGGCTTTCACCATTGCACTGGCGTTGTCCGTCACTAGAGCACTAAATTTTTCTGGTCCTATTTCTGTTAGTACCTCTTCTATTTTTTCGGCCATGTACTCTGCAGTATGTCGATTTGTGTCAGTAGTGAAAGTTTTGAAGAAAATAGGTGTGGGAGTGGTGATAATAAAGTTAATAATGGATTCGTTTCTCCTGTTGCTCCAACCATCGCACTGCAGGCCTAAAGCATTGGCTTCACTTATTTTAATTTGCATGTTGGCTGCGATGTTTTCATATTCTGTATCTAGAAGTTGATTAGACAAATAATATCGTGAGGGCATTTTAAAGGTTGGCCTTAATGTTTGAAAGAATAACTGCCAATGTTTATTTTCCGAGATTGCAAATGGTGTTCCAGAAGCATAAACTGCTCTTGCAAATAGTTGATCCAACTTTGCTTGCTCCTCTTTATTTGAAAAATCCATAAATCTGCGTAATGTGGAACGAGAGTTTGATGAGTTACCGCCAAAGCTACCTGATATGCTTTTGTTAAAGTTTCCTCCTCTTCACACTGATCTGAAAAAAATGTTTTATTTTGACTTGATTGAATTTAACTTAAGCAAAAAATATCCTTCCACTGTCCATGTAATAAAGCATACATTTCTAAATTATCCCGGAATATATCCTTTATAGTTAACTCACTACCTATGTTAAAATAAAATTTCTGTTCCATCAGTAACACACAAGCCCGAACACAACAAACTTATACCCCTTGAACTAGCCTTCTTTTCAATATATCCTCCATATACATACCTTTAAAAGATGAAGCTGCAGTACTCGACGGAGATGATACATTTTCTGATCCTACTATTTTAAAGTCTCTCTTAATATTACTGGGACATTTTAAGCACTTCAACAAGTGTTTAGTCATCCTTGTAGCATTTTTTACATATTCACTAGCACAAAATTTGCAGGTATAAACTACTTTTCCTTCAAGTTTTTTCAAGTCAAAATGATTCCACACATTACTTTTTGGTTTGGTTATTTTCCTATCACTCATGATTTTGACGATTTACGTGTTCAACAAACGAAAAATAATTCTAATACTGTCGTTCGGTTGCGATGCTTGCAGGTTATGACAGGAAGAAATACAAATAAACACCTCTAGGATTCCGGGATTCCCCACGCGGTCCGTTTGGCTCGCTAAAAGTAGGTTTTGCGACGGTAACGCCCAGACGGGTAAGGCCGCGTGTACACCATACTGCTAAAAGCATTTTGAGAAAATTACCGGCGAGAATTTTCTCCACGAGAATATTCTCGAGAATATTCTCGTTCTCGAGAATATATGTTTTGAGAATATTCTCGCTCACATCACTAGATACACCCCTGTTAAAAATTGCGAACCAGACAAGGATTTTATCTGCAATTTTGATTTATATTTGTAACAAACATTGTCAGGGTATTCCTTTACGTTGTCCGCTTAAAATTCGTCGTTTCACTTCATTTCAGAATTATTCAAAGTGAAGTACTTTTCGACATCTAAAATAATGATTTTTCCATTGGCAAACTGTACCCGCATCAATTGACGACAGTCTCTTGGTATATAAATTATAGTTCCGCTTGACAGTTTTTGGTGCACTTAATTCTCTTTCGATACCAACGATATCGTACTATCAGAGGGTATGAATTGACGAGCTAGTCTCCTTGTTGACATTCCATCCTAATTTTTTGCTCTTCTCATCAATCTCTCGGATCTCTGAGCAGTAAATGCACGTGGTCTTCCACTTTTTGGAAGATTCAGACATGGTGCTCCCTGCTCGCACTCCGCTATTGTTCGATAAATGGTTCTGCGAGAATTGTTTTCATTCTGGAATATTAGACAGATTTTAGCTTTGGGTACCCGCCCAACCAACATGCAGATACTTTTTCTAATCATCTTAAAGCGAAAACTTCAAAATAAATAAATGTCAATTGACAGTAAAGTAAGTAAACAAACTTTTGTTTCCAAGGGCAACTTGATATTATTTTGTGTTTGTTAGGTTTAAAGCCAATGAAGTTTGTGCCAAAACTTTTAGGACAAACGTTTCATTTATCTTAAAACCGCAAGTGGTAGTGCTAAAATGAAGGATCAAAGAAAGTGACCCGGCAGCTCAGTTTATATGGATGCTTATCTTTTTTCCGATTTAAAAAATAAGCTGATTCCACCATCTTGGAAACTGATATGGCGGAAGGCACCCGCGACGAATATAATTTATAAATTAATGGAAACTGAAGTTGCATTCAAAAACCTGTAAGTGTTTACCTAGATAATTTGAATTCAAATTTTTTCTAACCTGAGTTATTCTCCTGCAAACTTGCTCATAACCAATACTCGAATTGTTATTGCTCAACAGAATAACACCAATGGGTTTTCACATAGTTTGAGTGTCTCAAAGATTTATTGTTTGCAGTTTACTGTTCAAACTCAAAACGACAGGTTTTACATTGCGGCATCCAAATTTTACATTTATGTAGAGCAATTAAATTTAAGGTTCCTGGCTAGTGTCAATAAGTATAGGAATAGAATCAGTATTGAGTTTCCCAATTGACTTTCGTAAATTACCTTACGATCCAGGAACGGTTATATTAGATAGTAGAGGTTCAACAGCATGGAAGCTCTTCATTTCAGATCTTATTTATGTCATAGGAAACAATATGTTATGTGCAAAGGACATAAGTCAAGCGAATACACTGTAATGTCCGGTGTTCCTTAAGGATCTAATTTGGGACCTCTGTTATTTATTATGTTCATAAATGATATTACTGAAGTTATCGATGTCAATTTTCTTATATATGCTGACGATATGAAACTTTTCTGTAGAGTCTCTAACATTGATGATTGTCATCGCTTGCAATGCAACATTGTAAGGGTTGACAGCTGGTGTCGTGAAAACAGACTTGTCACGTTTTGTCATTTACTTTAAAAACAGGGGTAATGATGTATGAATATAGTATTGGTGACAGGAAACTTGACAGACCTAGTACAATTAATGACTTGGGAGTCACATTTGACAGAAAACTTTCCTTCTCCAATCACATTGAAAATGCTGTTGTGGCTGCATCAAAGGCGTATGGTTTTATTGTAAGTAAATACCGGTGATTTCCACAACTCCTTCACACTGAAAATACTGTACTATGCTTATGTAAGATCTAAGCTTAAGTATGCGTCCCTGGTATGGTATCCTCATCATCAAATATATATTGACCGCTTAGAGTCCGTTCAAAGAAAGTTTTTAAAATACCTCTCATACAAAGCTGACGGGATATATCCCGCTATTGGCTTTCCTCATAGTGAGTTGATGGCGAGACACAAAATCTATAATTTAGAGAGCAGACGCAAAATGAATTCACTTAAGTTCATTCACAAGCTCATCCATGGCATTATTGACTCCAGTGTCATCTTAGAACAACTTAACTTCATAATTCCTAGATTAGCGTCACGAACTAGTTTAACTTTTTACTTAGCCAGGCCTATTACTGACATACTTAAGTTTTCCCCTATATATATACTAAGTGACACATAAATCCGAACACCCAGTTTAAATGGCTTTATTTTAATAAAATTTTTTATAAAATTTCAAAATGATTGCACTGCTTTAGAGCTCTTTGACCATTAATAATGTGTGGATGCACCCTGATGTGCTACGCATTCTCCAGCGCGCCTAGGCATGCTTCTGATCAGGTGGCAATGTCCTCCTATGGTATCTCATTCCAGGCAACCACCAACTCCTCTCGAAGTGCTTCTAGAGTCTGAGGAGGACGTTGCAAATTGAGCAATCTCCTACCCATCATATCCCACACGTGCTCAATTGGGGATAATTTGGGAGATCTTGGTGGCCATGGTAACAATGTGACATCATTATGTTGAAAGAAGTCTATTGTGACTCTTGCAACATGTGGTCGGGCATTATCTTGTTGGAAAGTTGGATCTGCCAGGGTATCAAGATAGGGTAAAAGATGGGGTTCTAGAACTTCGTGGATATAACGCTGCGCGTTCATGTTACCAATGATGAATATTAAAGGTGACCTGGAACCATAAGCTATAGCACCCCAAACCATAACTCCAACAGTGTGATGAACATATCTTTCAACAAAAAACTGTGGATTCCTCCTTTCACCACGTCGCCTTCTAACCCTGGCACGACCATCGTGCATGCCTAAACAAAATCGAGACTCGTCACTAAAGACAATACTGTTCCATTCCTGATCCCAGAGTGACCGTTGTCTGCACCACTCAAGGCGATTACGTCGGTGTTCTCGAGTTAAAGGGAGGACCCAGTGTGGCCGGTATGAAAACAAGCCAAAACTTCTCATTCGTCGGTAAACACTTCGCATGCCAATAGGTCTTCCGTGTTCTGCAAACCATTCATTTGCAATGGACCTGGTAATGGAGAAACGGTCCCTTAAGGCCAATAATCTTAGGCGGCGATCTTCACGGTCTGTTGTTCTACGGCGGCGTCCAGTGCCCCTTGCTCTTTGCGTACGGCCTTCTCGAAGCCATGCCTGACAACACCTAACCACAGTGTCTACACTTCTTTGCACTCTTAACTGCAATTGCCCGAAAAGAAAGTCCAGCTTCCCGAAGTCCCACTATACGGCCCCTATCAAACTCACTAAGTTGACGAAATCGTACAGGTCTCCGTACTCTAGGCATGGTAACCGATCGTAAAGGATGTCAAGAACCAAAATCCGCCAACGTTGATTCTTTACTGCGGCTGAAATATTCATTTTTAGAGCGTTAGTGAATTAAAAAAAAACAGTATAAAAACCGGAATGTCCAACTGATAAGGCTGAACTTTTTTTCACTTGTTATTTACAGTAAGATAAATAATTCACCAACTTTTATTAAAATAAAACCATTTAAACTGGGTGTTTGGATTTATATATCACTTAGTATATATAATGTGCCGTAATTATAATTCAGTTATTATTATTTATTTAGATATATTTTCGTTTTGTGCGACTTTGGGAGACATTAATGCTTATTTTCGTTAATGCTTGCTGGTGTGATTGTTGAGTGCTGGGTAGGTAAAGCTAGAACGCTTTTTTTTCCTCCCAGTTCTGTTTTGAGGTATTTTTTTGTTGCAGCGTTTTAGCTTTCTCTACATACATCCACAACATGCATTTGTTTATATTTTCATGTTTATCCATCCTGTAATTTTCTATGGCTGTTGGATGTTGCTAAATAAATAAATAAATAAATTTCTGTGTATCGATATCAAACAAGTGGTATATGAAATACGGTGTTGTAGTATGTCTGCCACATTT